CTTATAAATATTATATGTGGAATCTAAAAAAATTAACAAAACAAATGAATAAACAAAACGAAGCAGAAATAGACTCATACATACAGAGAACAAACTGACAGTTACCAGAGGGGAGGGAATTTGGGGGATGGGTGAAAAGCGTGAAGGTGAATTAGAGGTACAAACTTCTATTATAAAATAAGCCACAGGACTGTAGGTACAGCACAAGGAATATGTCAATAGTATTGTAAAAATTTTGCACCGCAACAAATGGTTAGCAGACTTATCGTGGTGATCACATTGTAAGGAATATACATGTCGAATCATTATGTTGTGCACCTGAAACTAATATAATATTGTATGCCAGCTATACTTTAATAAATTTTTTTAAAATAAATAAAATAAAACGTAAGGGTTGGAATTAAAGCTCAGGAAGGGAAAAACAAGTGGTGAAGTGGTCAGTTGTGGAAATCAACCAGGGGTCTCTAAAACAAAGGAAATTTCCCCCCACTCCCCTCTGGCCAGGCTTATCTAGTTGAGTAACTGGCAATGTTTTTATTCAAGATAGCTGTCTTTGAAGTGGACCAAAAGGTTAATGTCAGGCACTTGCATTACAATAAGAAAAAAAGCAATTGTCAGGTACATACACTGCATCCCTGTGTAAAATAAATAAGTGGGATGTAATGTACAACGTGGTAACTATACTTAATTATACTGTATTGCATATATGAAAGTTGCTAAGAAAGTATATCTTAAAAATCCTCATCACAAGAAAAAACATTTTGTAACTATGTGGTGACAGATGTACAGTGGTGATCATTTTGCAATATATACAAATACGGAATCATTATATACCTGAAACTAACAAAATGTCATATGTCAATTATGTTTCAATAAAAATGTAATTAAAAAAGTAATCAGACAGAAGTAGATATATAACATAGAGCTCTATTTTTATCAAGCAAAACTAATCTTCAGTGAAATAAATCAGATCATAGGTTATATGCAATGGGTGTAGGAGGAGACAGAGCACAGATGGGCAGAGGTCACTTTCCAAGGTGATTGAACATTAGAATGCCACTTGTGTTATCTTTGTATTTTTAAAGTTCTGGCTAAATCACAATTTAAAATTTCTAGGTAAAATACTCTAAGTATATATGTTGACATTTGTTTTAAAAATATATGTAATTTAAAATAAACAGTTGCTTTTAAAGTTATCATTTTTTTCATTTGTTATATTGACTACTACTATACAATGAATGCTCACAATCAGCACAGTTGGAGAGTTCCTGGGAAGAGACCCAGCCACCACTGGACATGAGCATCACCTGTCTCCAGGCAGTCAGTTCTGTAACCCGACTCAGTTGAATTAAGAGGTTTAGCTGAACTCAACAAGCATTTGTTGATTACATGCTATAATCTCATCACAAAGTCCTCATTAAATAACCTATTCAATGTAGCTGGAATTTGTACTTATAATTTGTACTTACTTATTTCACTTTATTATATTAAGTATCATGTAGTAGGTTTCATTTCATTTTATGGAAATGAGCCCTAAGGCTTTTGTATGTTGAGTGACATGCCCAAGGTGATGCAGCTGATAAAGTGCAGTACTGAATACTTACTTATTTGATTAAAAAGTCCATCTTCCTTTTACTTTGCTATGCTGGACTCTCGTTATTGTCATGAAGCATCTTTAACTATTGCAAGATGGTAGAGGTCTTGGCCTTTGTAGTAAAACCTCACCAATACATAATAACTATGGTTGTATCAGGGCAAAGTAGTTGAAAGTCAGAATTAAAGAATTTGAAAACATACAGGTTCTTAGAGAATGTTTAAATGTTAATTAAAACGAATTTTGAGTTCTGTCTAAATTTCTTAGAGGGCTCCCAATGATGTAAGTTATAATGACACATCTCATTTATATTGACAATTTTAATTATGAACTCAGTGGCATGTAAATTGGTGCTTTTTAAGAAAATTATTAAAGAAAGTATTGTTTTAAACTCCAAATTTAATTTCCACAGTTTATGACAAGAGCTTCATTGTTCTATTAGACAAAGGTAACAAATTGGCTTTTGTCAAAATAGTATACCATTTTTCTATCTGAGTCTAATTCACTAATAATTTGACCTTATGCTAAAATTAGGACCTGAAGACTGAAGTCATTAGAACAAAGTTCACTGTGTGATAACTGGGTGAAGCAGGAGAGTAGAAACAGAGTCGTGTTAAAGTAGAGAGCTCCTCTGCTGTCTCCTAGTTAAAGGCATTGCCTGGCTCGGACTCTCCCTTCTTCCCACACGATGTGAGCGCTGAGACTGGATCTTCAACTTCCCATCCAAGATATAATTCTGATCCTGCACATTTAATACCCTAATGTCCTAATTTGAGTTGACTTTTTCAAAAACTGTAATATTAATAGGCAAAATTCTGGAGCACCATCAAAAAAGGTTTCATTCATTTGCCAAATCCTAAGTAATTCCTGCAAGATACAAGGCAGGTAAGTCTGGATCCAGGAAAATGCATAGATACCTGTTATTTACTGCACAGAAAGGAGGATGCTACGTGGTAAATGGAGCGCACATCAAGTGAAATCTTAAAAACCCTCTTGGTTCACAGTGGCAGGGATTAGAAATAATGATAAGGCCACGTATAGGGTCAAATACCTATCCTAATTATGTTTGGTCACTGGATTCAGAATCCACATAGCAGGATATCTCCTGTCCTGACAAGGACTTATGGCTCGCCTTTGTCACATTTCTACCCTGCTACTTACCAGCCCTGTGGCCCAGGGAAAATTCCTTCACCTCTCTGAGCTTTAAGGTCCTCCTTATCAATTGAGGATGATATGAAAGCATGACAAGTATATTTAAAGAGCCCTAGGGATTTTTCGTTCCAAGTGCAGTTTATGTATATTCCTCACAACAGACTAACTAGGTGCTGTTAATGCCTCCAGCCTAAGACCATCATCAGGACCTCACCTGCAGCTAAACAAGTTGGTTTTATTACTCGTTGCTGTGAGTGAGAACACTCACCATGGGGAATCATGGGGTATCTCAGTGAGAGGGTGTTGGAACCGAAAAAGCAGAAACGGTAGAAGCTATCTATTAAGAGAATTATTACAAGGAATTAGTTTACACAATTGTGGAGGTGAACTGGACAAGTCCAAGACCCACAGGGCAGGCCATTGTCAGGAAGGACAGGCCTGAACTCTTGGCACAGACTGAAGCTGCAGCTCACAGTGGAATCTCTACTCCCTCAGAGAAGTCTCAGCTCTGCGCTTGAGACTTCAACTGATTAGGTACGGCTCACCCAGATTATCCAGGATAACCTCTCTTACTTAAAGCCAACTGAGTATATGGACTTTAATTACATCTACAAAATATCAATGTTTGATTGAATAACTGGAGACTATGACCTAGTCAACACATAAAACTAATCATTAAACTCATAGACTTTGGGCTTGTGTTAGGTGATTTTGAGGAGAATTTAAGAAATGGGAATTTGCTTTTAATTAGCTTCTGTTGCGAAGTGGGTGATGGGGTGCGGTAGTTCCATAATTGGGTATCTTAGTAAATCTTACCTGAAAGGAAGGAGGAGTACACTGAGGTAATGCTCGAACTGGTAGAAGCCCAGTCATTCACTTTATCTAGGGGAGAGGTATGCTCAGTCATTTTTGTGGTTTGGGCAATAATCATGTTTTGTCTGTGTTTAGACATCATTGCTGAGTGGCCTTGTTTTCTGTCTTGATCCAACATGGTCACACAGTGGTTGCCTTATACTGCTATTCTATGAAATTGGTTATGTTCAGCAGGAAAACACCAAAACCTAGCTGTGAGTGCCCGGCCAGCTCCTGGCCTGGTGAGTAGTGCCAGGCAGCTCCCAGCGCCAGGGCTTTGTATGTCTCAGCCTTCACACTCTCTGTCTCTGTGAGGTAACACAGAGTGCTGAGAAGTAGAGGGCCATCTATCCAAGACAGGGTGGTTGATTTGAAATGGAATCCCCATTAACTTGTAGTTGCCATAACACACAGAAAATAGATTCTTCCGAAAAAAAAAAAAGTGTCTCAGGTGACTGCCTTTGACTTTAGCTCAATCTCTAGTCCCTCACAAATATCTAGAATTGTAATGTGGCAGGATAAAGGATATGAAAATATTCAGCAGGTTAAAGTAAGAAAACTAGTTTTCTAAGTAATAGCAACTTCCCTCATTCCACCCTCAACATTTGACTTGACATTTTTAAATTAAAAATAAAAAAGAGTGATTGACCAGCCAGAGCTTTGTGTAACGTAATCAGTGTCTCCAAATGCCCTTTAAATGCAGATAGGCAGCACCGAAACAGCACAAGGCATACTCAAGGCAGGGGAAAGCCCAGATGAAAGACCATGCAGTTACTACAGGCAGCACTACATGACATTATAACTCCTTCTATTGCCTCGGGTGCAAATATTGGAGCTTTTGAGAACATGGGAAGAAGAACTTCCTTGACTGGATTCATATAAGTACAAACAATAAAGGTACTACCTGTCTACCACGCGCAGAGATCCCCTGGGTGAGTGGGTCAGCTCAAAGTTTAGAGAATTCCATGTTCACTATGAAACAAAAAGAAAGACAGCTAACCCACACGTGGAGGCCATGGAAAGGGGAGCAGGCGGGACTGCCAAGGAGGGGGATCAACTCAGGGGAGAATTCTTGGAGGCTGTAACCCAGAAAATCCTCAAGAACAGAATAGGAATGATGACCTTATCTATCTATGAGGCGCCTCAGAAATTCCCATCCCTCTTGCCACCAGCAGGCGTACACACATGTAAGAAGGTTCTGATTTAATACCCTCTCCTTTTATAGAAAATCCCCTCGGGTCCACTCTGAGTGGAGGCTGCAGCAGGACCAGGGGATTCCCCAGTCCCTGCTGGGCCTCTTACTGCAAACTCTTCAACTGGCAACTGCGGTGTCATCACAGGGGATTGTTCTGATTGGCCAGAACCTGATCAGGCTGGGTTTGGTTTGGGTTCCCTTAGGTTTCCCTCTCAGCTCCTTCCTCACTGTTGCTCTACAGCTCAGAACAGCAGCTGCTGAGACCACCTAGGGCAGAGGATGATCCTAAACAGAGCTCTGATTCTGGGGGCCCTCGCCCTGACCACCGTGATGAGCCCCTCTGGAGGTGACAACATTGTGGGTGAGTGCATGGTTGAGGGGTGTGGAGACTGGAACTGAGGAACAGGAAATTGGAGGAGCGGGAGAGGGAGAGATTGGTATAGAATTAGTAGAGACTCCTCAAAGGTGTTCTCAATATTAAGCAGATTTAAAAATTATGGCAGCTCCTCCTTCAGGAACCCGGGGTCCCAACCCACCCTCTTTGCTGCCTGTGCTGTTGCACACCTGATTGAGGACATTCTTCTGTTTCTAATATGGGCCCAGTGAATACAGCTGAAGGGCTCTGTGGCATTCAGTCATGATTACCTCAGAGATTAGGGCTGTCTTCACGAGTGGATATTTTATTACTAAAAATTTATTAATGATTGCTCCCAAATGTCTCTGAACAACATTTGAAGGTTTTGTATACCCTCCTGTAGTTTACCTTGGGGTAAAGAGCCCCAGAAATGATGTATACTGTGTGGATATAGACAAGGGTCTTTTACTTTGTCTCAGGTTTACGTACATTTCCGTGGTGGGAGCTGGCACAGGTGAGGAGTGGGTAAGTGAGCCCAGCTGGCTGAAGGCCTGCAGACAAGTCACCTTACTACGGGCCTCACTAATCTCAGTTACCTCACATGTGCCACCTCACCAATAATCAAATAAAATAGGTGTGTAGATATGCTTTCTAAATAATGAAGACATAAACGTCAATGGTTATTCTTGTTTTCAAATTATTACTATCACAGGTATAACTTCATAATTTTGTTCTTTACAAAGGAGGGGATATCTTTATTTTTATTTTAAAATTGAGAACTTCATGATGACTTAGTGAGTTAATTATATTATTCTGAAATCACCAGCCCAAATCGCCTGCCTTTCACTCCATCTACGGAAGTCCTGTAAGAGGAATAACAGGCAAGCCCGGAGTGCTCACTTGGTCCCCTCTGCCTTTAACATCCACCTCTTCCCTCCCTCTCTTCATACATTCCTTTCTCCTCCTTTCCTTCCAGGATCCATCCCTGGCTCTTATCCCTGTTGTTTTATAGATATGAAGAGTAAGTTTGTAAAAACTAAAGTACAAAAGCTGAATAGTTCAAAGGGGAAGTGAAACGGAGGTGACTCTAATCTTCAGCAACTGTAGTAACCATAGCTGCTCCCACTCTAATTTTGTTCGGATGTGACAGTTTCACCCGCTTCTCCAGGGCGCATCCCAGTTTCCTTTCCCCTGCGTCACACCAGGGTGCCCTGCTCAGGATTGACTCCAGGTTAGGCACAGGGAGCACAGTGCTGAGGGCCTGCGATGCCCTAGAGCCCCATGAAGATGGTTTTTTCCTTTAAAATTAGAAGAAAAAACCCCAAACTTTTAGGGTAGGAGAAAATGTTTCGAATTTTAATCCAGCCTGGGTTACATTTGTCTTTGTACCAATACAGTCATAAAATATGATTTTTAGTATTTTGATGGAGGACTGTGCCCCTGAAAACAACAGTGCCAACAAATCAGAATGCAGCCTGGTCACTGCTGATTCTAACTTTCATCTGGTTGTGCTACCTGAATATCTATCTGCCTTCCCCAAAATCTCTGTGACCCTCGAGAATAACAATTGACATTTAATACACATTTTTGAGCACACAGTGAACTAAATTTTGGGGATTCAAAAATAAAAGACATGCTTTCTTCCTGCTAGAGGGTGCTCAGGTTGCTGATGGAAAGAAAATGGTGCAGGAAAGCAGGACCATTGCTGAGCGGAGTAGTGGATCCGGCTGAGGTTGAAACTATAAAAGTGAATTAGTTCCCATTGGCCCAGCAGTGTGGTCTTCTTTAACAACAGCCTGCAGCCCAGGACAAGTACCAGATGAAAGGAATAATTGCACATATTCATGTTGGAAAAAGGAGTCAAGAAGATTGCAAGAGGCTTTGCTGGAGGGCCTTTTAAGTGATCATCCAAGGCAGTCATGCTGGGTAGGACTGAGAAATAGATACACTTGGAGAGCAGGACATTGGGGTGAAGGGGTTGGAGGTCATAATGTGGTCAAAACACACCGAATGAGAGAAGTTGGCTAAAAAGTTGGTAACTAAGCAGAAACTTCAAAAAAGAATTAGAGGTGTCTGGGAAATCCTAAAAGATAAACTTAATTTCAGGGAGAAAAACAGACCCCTGCAAAGACCAAGGAACACAAAATGATGACATTGTTTGGTTTGATTGGCAGATGAGGTATTTGAGGAGGGTGTTAGAGATCCCCATCACAGAACGCATCACTGAGGACCAGTGTTTGCTCCTGCACTCACCTGGCTCTCCCCCAGTCAATGAGCACCTTGACAACAGAGGTCATGCCCATTGGTGTTTTACTCCTTGCCTTCCGCAATGTCTGACACCTTGTTGATGTTCATTAGGTGAGAAAGGAAGGAAAGAGGAAACGGTAAAGGGCTCATATCTGTCTTGATGAAATTGTCCAGTTAGGCTCATTTGGGTGGAGTCATACACTTTCTTTTACCACATAATACTTAGAAGAGCTTCTTTTAAAGTAATAATATCTTGTGTATTTTTCCTGGATTGAAGAAGAAGGAGAAGCAGGTGGAGAAGGGAGGGAGAGGGGAGGGGTACAGATGGGGAAGAGGAGGAGGAACCCCTATGTACAAAAAGTCCTGTCCTGGGCCAGTCTTGAGGAGAAAGGAACCACAATGAATGTGTGTTTAACTGATAAAAGAATTGAGAGAGAAAACTTATGAAACCAACAGAAATAAACTGAATCCCTGGGGAAAAAAGCTAAATATGACCATTCTTCCTTCTTTCATTCAACTACAGTATTTATCATAAACTTACGATGTGCCTTGTGCTGAGCTAGGCACGCAGGGAGTAGCAAGAAGCAGGCCTGTGAAATCCTGCCCTCGTGGAGCATAGGTTAGAGTGGAAAGAGAAGGACTGTAACCAGACAACCACCGGTGCTGAGAGGAGAGGAAGCAGCTGCTGGGCACTTTGCCAGGAGACTGCCAGCGATGAAGCTCCTGATATTTGAGAGTCAGTTTCTTCTGTCACTTGGTTTAACATGGTTCTCTTCTCTCCCTGTTTTCCACCTTTCTGCTCGTGGCCCTCACTCATCAGCTGACCATGTTGCCCACTACGGTGCAACTTTGTACCAGTCTTACGGTCCCTCCGGCCAGTACATATTTGAATTTGATGGAGACGAGGAGTTCTACGTGGACCTGGAGAGGAAGGAGACTGTCTGGCGGCTGCCTATGTTTAGTGAATTTGTAAGTTTTGACCCACAGGGTGGACTGAGAAATGTGGCTACAGGAAAATACACCTTGGACATCTTGATGAAACGCTCCAACTACAGTGCAGCTACCAACGGTGTGTGCCCAGCTCTGCTGTCTTTCTGAGTCTGCCCCTTCACACGAGCTCTCACTCCCTTCCCTGTGGTGGATACTGGTCACTACTCTATAGATTTCTCTTTTCCAAGGAGTCTTCAGATCTTCTCGTAATAATTACTGAACCTTCATCCCCTCCCATCCCCAAATCACCTATTTCCATGTAATACAAGGATTCTTACTCTAGTAACACGATTCTGAATCCTTCAAGGAAGGGCCTCACAGACCTGCTACCTTAATACACAGGTTCACAGAGGGCAGGCACGGGGATAGAGGGTGTGCAGTGTATTGTGGTTCCCAAGAGGGAGGGAAATAGCTCTTCCTCTATCAGATGGGACAGTGTTGGTGGGAGGGCTCCTCTGGGATGCAGTGGGGAACCTCGGGGCAGCACTATTTGCAGTTCTTATCAGTGTTGTTTCCTTACCACAGAGGTTCCTGAGGTGACTGTGTTCCTCAAGTCCCCGGTGACGCTGGGCCAGCCCAACACCCTCATCTGCCTCGTGGACAAAATCTTACCTCCTGTGATCAACATCACATGGCTGAGCAATGGGCACCCAGTCACAGAGGGGGTTTTTGAGACCAGCTTCCTGTCCAGGGATGATCATTCCTTCTTGAAGATCAGTTACCTCACCTTCCTCCCTTCTGCTGATGACATATACGACTGCCAGGTGGAGCACTGGGGCCTGGACCAGCCGCTTCTGAAGCACTGGGGTAGGTGTGAGCTCCACCCCTTTGGTACCTTCTTTTCTCTGTCAGATCAGAGCATCCTGCCTCTCACCCCCTAACTCTCATGGCCCTGAACTTAACACCTTAAAAGTTCCTGATGATAGACTTCACCCTCCTCTCTAAGCCCCGGTCTTTATAGGACACCCTCCCCTACCCCCCTACTCCTGCCATTCCATCCCGGGTACATGCTCAGAAAACACTGTATTCTGACCTCACAACTTCACTTCCTCAGAGCCTGAGATTCCAACCCCCATGTCAGAGCTGACGGAGACCGTGGTCTGCGCCCTGGGGCTGGCTGTGGGCCTCGTGGGCATCGTGGTGGGCACTGTCCTCATTATCAAAGGCCTGCGCTCAGGTGGCCCGTCGATACGCCAAGGGCCCTTATGAAAGGAAGGTAAGGATTCAGATTTATAAAAGCAGGAAAGTGGGGGAGGTTGTGAACACAAATGTGGTTGAAAAGATGATGGCATAGGAGCCCCCTAGGATGCCCCCTAGGGCCCATCAATCTCATGTCTGTCTTATTGCAGGTACACTGCCCGTCTACAAGGCCAGAAAAGTGGACGTGCTGATGACATGCTGTTTCCTGGCCCAGTTCATCATCTTCCTTCTTTCCTCCTACACTCCTTCTCTCACTGCTTCTCTGGGGTTTAAGGTGCTGTATCCCCCTCGGATCTCACATACCCCTCAAAATGCTCCCCCAACCTCCGAATGTTTTTTTCTTTTCTCAATTGTTCCCTATTATGGGATTCCTGGAGTAGCCTGCCCACTACCTTATCCCACAGTGACCCTGAACTACTATCTCCATGGAAGCAATAAATCCCCTTTATGAGCTCTTTACTGAATTTTTTCCTGTCTTTCATTTCAGGATTGGCTAGAACTGTGGCCCTTTATGCTTCAGGCCCATTAACCTCATTTCCCAGATCATGATTCATTCCCAGTAACACAAAAGAAAATAATATTTTAATAATATTTTGATAGCTGAGCTGAGGATAATATTTCTCTATTCCTTGTGTTCCCACCTTTGGCCACTGCCACCCCACCCCCACCCCCAATTCAGGCATCAATGAAGGTAGTAGTATATACCCACTGCCCTTGGTGTAGATTTGTTATGAGAGAAATACAAAAACCAAGAAATAAATCTGTATTCATTTTAATATAGCTCTTAAAAGTTATAATTGAGAAGTAAATTAGAAAGAAATTTTGAATCTCAATAGTACCAAAGTCAAAATTTGTTCCCAAAACTTTAAATTTGTGGAGAACAAATGATGATAGTAAAAGCTTTCTTCTCCTCTCCTCACCCTCAAGGAGATAAGAATTCTCTAGGCAGGAAAGGAAATGGAATTCAGTTAGGAGAGCGTTAGAATAAGACAATAAAGTGGGTATCTGAGAAGGACCCAATACTGTGTCCTTACTTACGGTTAGTAACAAGGGGAAAAGGGATGGGAGTAGAAACCACAGATATATTTACGGTCCATAGTACACAGGTGTACTTTGCCTGACCTCCTACATGAATCCCTGCTAAAGAACCACATACATTTTCCTGTGCCACCATGGCATGTTGGGGACAGGGCAGTGAATATGGCTGTGAATATTTCTAAGCAGATAAGCCTAAGTCAGGCTCACTGAATTCATGTGAATCCTTGTGAGTCCCTGTGTGCCCTGGGGAGCAGCAAAATAGCCCAATATCCCCAGTCCCTTGCCCCTCACCATGCCTGGCTAAGGAAAGCACAAGCCTATGAGAGAGAAATCCCACAAGGGACAACATGGTTGAGGTAATGTCAGCGATGGGTGCTGCTTCCTGTCTAGATTCACTGTCTCCCAGTGGGAATCCCAGCAGATGAAACGGATCAGCAGAGGGGATTCTTTGGTTCTCCCCAGTGTGTCCACGACCCCACTCCTGAGAGTGTACGTGATCTGAATTGAAGTCATTTTGCCTTTAAAATTGTTTTAGGCACATTGCCTCAGCCTTTCCACTCTGCAACTACTGTGTCTGTACGTCATGTCTAGGATGATATTATGGAGCAGAATAAAATGTATGAGGCTGTCCCTGTCCATGCCGTCTGCATCAGTGAGCTTAAAATGTTACTGGGAAATAAAGACACAATATTAACACAGTGATTGAAACAGCAGAGCTCAGTATAAAGAAACATAATCCAAATCCAGGACTCAGCACTTTGTAGCTAGTTTTTTAAACTTTGTAACACTGGGTAAAATATCTAACATTTCTGAGCCTTATTTTTCTCATCCATCACATGGGAGTGATAATACTTTCCTTGCAGAGTTATTGACAGAATTTGAGTAATCCTGATGTGTAGGCAGTGCCTTACACATAGTATATAAATACATAAGAAAACATTGCTAGTTACAGCCACCAGAATTTATGTATTTATGAAAAGCACTTTTGTTTTCCTGAGCCCTTTAATGATTTAGGAGATTCAAACATAGAACTATGGATGAATTTCTTGTCATATGTTAATTGGAGGATTTTTTCCTTTCTAGAATAAGGGGCTGAGATTGGGTTAGGCTGAGCCAATAGATAGGGAACAGTGATCAGTGACATATCACTGGTGAAAGGGTTGCTAAGAGCACTCTTATGGAAAGAAGTTATATTTGACTAGGGTTTTTACTCTAATAAGAAATACGTCCCCTCCTTATAGCCCATAATTTTTTAGTCAAGTATGTTATATGCAACAGATCTTTTTGTATGTTTACTTTGGGGAGAAGGTGGGGAAGATCAAAGGAGAAAAAAGCTACCTGTGAGGTAAAAGTAAGAGAATAATTTAAAATGCAGACTAGGAATTAGTAAATGCAGGGAATCTGAACCAGAGGTGATCATGAAATTGTGCATAACAGAGCACAGAGGATTTTTAGGGTAGTGAAACTATTCCGTATGATACTATAACAGTGGGTACGTGGCATTACACATTTGTCAAAATCCATAAAGTGTACAACACCAAGAGTGAACCCTAATGTAACTATGAACTTTGGGTGATTATGATGTATCAATATAGTTTCAAAAATTTTAACAAATGTACCCCTCTGGTGTAGGATGTTGATAATGGGGGAGGCTCTATGCGTGTGTGGGGGCAGAGGGTATATTTGAAATCTCTGTGAAATCTCTGTATGTTCCACTCAATTCTGCTCTAAAACAAAGTGTATTAAAAAGAAGAAAAAGATCAGCAATTATGATCCTAAATATATAAAATAAAATTTTAATATAAAAAATGTAAGTCACCTGAAAATGTACAAATGTGCTGAGAAGTTTTGGGCAATAGGATTTTAAATAAATTTAATATAAATTCCAATGATTCATAAGGTAAGAACCCAGCATTTTGGAGATGATGTGTGTGTTATTATAATGTAAGGATTATACTGAATGGCATTATGACCAGTGTCCCAGAAATATACAAATGCTGCCCTATTCAGACTCCTTTCCCATAAAATACTGAAGATAGTAAATTTAATGGTAATTGCATTTTATTAAAGGGATTCATTCATAAAATATTCATATAATTTTAATATAACATAAAAAAGTGGGTTCACCACATGACATTACTATAAACAAAATTAGAAATCAGTCCTCATGATGTTAAATTATATGATTCTTAAACAATTATTTGAGTTATTTGAATTATTTCTGATTGTGTGCACAAAGTATGACTTCATTAATATTTAATATACTGTTTAAAATCTACATAATTAAAAAATCACATAAATATATCAGGTTTATACTCACCACAACAATTTAGGGATTTTGAAAGAATATATTTTGTTACAAATCAAGTACTTCACACATAGCCTGACATATAGTGAGAAGTCAATAGATGTTAACAATTGGTGTTATATTTTCTGGAACCTACATCACAAATCTCACGATAAATGACATTATAGGGATGTAGCCAACAGGATCCAGACTACGGGAAGTTCTAATAGACTCCATTTCTTCAGCAAATAATTTGCAAGGAAAAATAGAAAACAGAAATTATACAGTTAAAAAGAAACATACTAACCAAATGCTAGGGTTTGTTTTGATTCATATTCAAACAAAACAACTGTTAAAAATTCTTGTTTTTGTAACTATATATGGTGAGGAATGTTAACTAGACTTATTGTTTATATATTTCACAACATATACAAACATTTAATCATTATGTTGTATACCTGAAACTAATATAATGTCAAATATACCTCAATAAAAAAGGAAATAATTTAAACATCAAAATTAAAAGAAATAAGTAGGAAGCTGGCAACACTGGCCTACTATGGGGACAATTAACTTATAGTTGTTTCCCAATAGTGGTGATAGACAAGTGCAATATACACACCTTTTTATCTTATGCTATATGCATGTGCAGCCAGAGTGCAAGGGGAAATGAGTCATCATGAAGAACAGTGAAATTTTACTGCCCTTGTGGGATATAAAACCGGAACCTCAGAGTCTTTGGGGTACAGCTGTCATCAGGAGCCAAGCAGTCATGCCGTGCCCCTCCCTCCTCTAGGATACGCATGTCATACAGAGTTGTTTAGTAAGATTGCCCTTGTTCTGTATGAGAACAGCAGGATGCTTGGTGACTAAATCTGATTAACAAACTTCAGGTATGGAGTTTCAGCTGAACGTGAAGTCATTTTCACACAACTGAATCCACTATAGTCAGGAGCACTGTGCTTTACTTCTGAGAGTTAAGACATGTTTCCATTTCTCTGCATCCATACATTCTATTAGCACAAAACTGGTGACATAAAGAGACAGGGAAGAATGGAAAAGGGAGAAAACACACAAGGATGTTTGTCTTTATTTAAGTAGTTTAAGAAGTTTGGCCTAATCTTGGAGTCATAAGAAATTTACTTCAGAAATTAATCTTTTTTTATGTTTGACACTTTTCCCCCCAACTTTATTGAGGTGTAATTAAAAAAATAAAAATTGTATAAATTTTAGGTGTACAACATGAGACTTTATTTTGAAAGTTATTTCTTCACCATGGCATTAAATAGAGAATATGTGATAAGAAAGGAAGGCGGCTGTGGAAATGTCAAGAATAGAGAAGAGAAGTTTGGGTTTTTTCCACAAACATATTTTCCAACGTACACAAAAGTATAGAGAGAATAGTATAATGAATCCCCATGTACTTATCACCCAGATTCAACAAAAACAGAGAAGATAATTTATTTTTTAGTACACATTCTGTCACTGAAAATGTTTATACTCTCTCAAAACAAAATCCAAGAAGTTTTTACAATGAACAGAGGCTTCTAAATCTAATCCCTTCTCATTGGCTTAGGACCCTCTCACAGGGCAAAAGGAGAAATACAAAAAGAAGTGGTGTGTAGAGCTGAAGGGCTTTAAATTAAGCACATGCCTCATGTGGCCTGACCTGCTTGCTTAAAGGTGACGGGTGAAAGCTGTGGTAGCCCGATAGCTGATGAGGCACAGGTGGGAGGGAAATGAAATAGGGAGAAGGGAATGTATGGAACAGACAGAAGGAAAGGAACTGGAAGTAGGAGAGAGTTGAGAAAGGGAGAATGAATAAGACATGACATAAAATAGTAAATATTCAACAAAAGACATGAAGTTTAGAATTCAGTCCCAACTCTGTCACTCATTAGTTTTGTGTCTGTGAGTCTATCTCTGAACCTCTCTAAGCCTCAGTTTCATCATCTGCAAAATCGTGCTAATAATATTTATCTGGAGAGGGTATTGTCAATATAAATTTAATAAAATACAGTAGTCTCCCTCATCTGCGGTTTTGCATTCCATGATTTCAGTTACCTGTAATCAACCACAGTCCAAAAATATTAAATGGAAAATTCCAGAAATAAACAATTCATATGTTTTAAATTGCAT